CCATCTATTTTTCCCAGCTCAGTCACGTACACTTCCCTCTCCTTCTTGTACCAAGGACATTCGGCGATTACATGAACACGGTGTTCGCATTCGAAGCCGCAATCACATTTGAACTCGTCGTCTTCGTCGTCTACCGTCCTATGTCTTCGTCGAAGTTCTCGAAGGCGTATGTCCCCGGTCTTGAATTTGACCTTAGGCTTTGTTCCTGCATCCATTGGTCCATGTAGGTAATCCTTGAACCCTATTCCTTCCTCCCAACATTCCGTACACTTCTAGACCCTCCTTATCCTTGAATTATTTCCTTAGATTCTGTTCTTCACGTGGGGAGGGGTAGCAAAAGAAAAAAGCGGCAAGCGAAAAGTCGAAGTAACTCCCCAAATAAGCGCTGATTGCTCGCGTGGAACCGTCGACAAGTTCATCCGCCAAAGTCACGACCGAATAAGTAGTCTCGCTTCGCTGGTGTTTGTAGGCGTGGTCAGGCGGGTTGGAAAATTACGCGACACTCTTGTTTCTCTCTTCACGTCATGTTGTCTATCATCCTTGGAAACTACACATCCAATCAACAAGAGGCAACCCGTTCAAGACATCACAACAGTCGAAGGGGATGGGTTGAAGTCTCTACAGTGAAGTCTTTGCTGAAAACGCTCATGACAGGGACGTTATTGTGTGTATGTGTTTTTTCACAAGAAACAAAAAAAGCTGAAGCTTCGGGGCGCGGATGTACACGCCTAAGGGAGGCCAAACCTCAACCACAACAGCAATGCTGTTATCATAGTTCCCTTACAGCAGCATGTGCACAAAAGTACCTCGCGGTCAAACATCAACAACACCACTTACAGGTAGTTCGCCTTACCTCGCGATAGTCGATCCAGTAGTCCTCTCCCCTCAGCACGCTCTCGCGGTCCGTCTTGAGGACCAGGGGTCGAATCTCGCCCTCCTCTTCCTCCTTCGCCGTCCTGGGAGGAGATGATGAGGCAGACGCCAAGGGCATAAACCGACAGCATGAGACGCAAGAAGCGCGCGTTAGGCTGTATTGTATTGGAGGCGGCGGGGGAGCC